CCAGCGGCGGAAATGTGACGAATGAAAGATCGGTAAAGCTTGATGTTGATTTTGACGATTGCAAAGTGGTAATCGGTGGAGAAGACGGGAGATTCTCCGAGAGTGCGAGAACCGGACACGTGGAGAACGTTCGAGGGTTATACCCAGTTACCATTTCTAGACCCGTTAACCAAACCGGGTTGGACAGATATTTTGTAACTATTATTAGTAACCTATTAAATAAAAATGAAAGTTAAATTAATTGAATTTAGCCCTTGTTTGGCCCCCATTATTTGGCATTTTTGATAGTTGAAAATTTTTGGAATAGTGATTGATGAGAGAATGTGTGGTGGAAAAGTAATGAGAAGTTTTAGATTTGTGTGGAATATTATTTTATTTGATGAATGTGTGGTTGTAATGAAGAGAGAGAAAAATTTAATGTAATGTAATTTAATTTAATGGGGACCAAACAGGGGCTTTAATTACGTCACCATCTATTTATCTACAAACACAGTTTATGTGGCGTTAATGTGTCATTAAAAGATAGGTGAAATTAAATAAGTCATTTAATTTCACATTTCATTTAACCAATCATTTAGAGTCACCTAAACTTTGTTTGCAATCTCACTGAGAATGAATAACATTACTCTATATAAAAAGGGGATATTGGGGACAAACTTTTGAATACTAATTTTACGCTTATATATTTAGAATGTGTCTGGCTGAGCTTTTTGGCAAATTTTAATCATTTTTTCACCCGTTAATCATCCACTCATCCCACAACATTTGACTTCTCATCTCACATGCGGGTCCCACGATTAGAAATAAACGGTAAAAAAATCAATTAAAAGAGCCAAAGAAAGCTGAGTCAGACGCACCCTAAATCTTTTAAGTATGGATGAAAGTAGTAGTCATCCAATCCATTGGCGATGAGCGAGTCTATATAGTAAGGATCATTTTGATACGACTGTTGAGACTAGTCTTTTTATAAGTAAAAATTTTATTAATCAAGCTTTTTCAAAAAGAGTTGTTACTAAAAAGTTCATAATTTCTAGTTGTCAAAACAAAAAGAATAATGCTAGTTGTTACTAAAAGATATTTAGAGCTTGTTTGGGAGAGATTTTTGGGGGAAGAATTAATTTTGAATAGTGATATGATGAGAAATGTGTGGTTGAAAAAGAAGAAAAAATTATTGATGTGATGAAAAATATTATTTTATTAAAGAATGNTAATTTTTCAAATGTTTGGGATCGTTAGTGATACAGATTGAAGTTTTTCTGCAAAATATTCAAAGGTTTGGGACCGAATTTTCCCATTTATATTAATAACATTAAATCACGAATTAAGTTTTCTTTTATTTTTTAACACCCATTAGTTGTTATTATTAAAATAATCAATTTAAATTCACTTCCTACCAAAAACACACATTAGTTCACAAAAAGAAAATTAATTTAAAAAAAAATGAAATTTTGCATTAATCCGTTCACCTAGGCATTAAATTTATGTTCACTAAAATTTCTTATAATTCTTTTAGTTACATATAAAATAAAACGTGATAACAAATATATATACAATTATCCACGCATTAAGGTTTTTTTTTTTTTTTTCCTGACATCATTAAGTTATCAATCTTACAATAGTACACCCATTTCCTATAGAACAAAAAATATTTCACAAAAAGAAAAAAATTAATAAATAAAAATTGAAAGGTTGCATCAACATGTTCACCTTGCCAATTTTATTTTTGTTAATAATTAATTTATTTTTTCCGCATCCAACTGATAATGAATTAGATTATAACTTTTCCTTTAACAAGATCGATTGTCCCAGCTATTTTCAAAAAAAGTATTAATAATTTAAAAATATTATGCATATCATTCATTCGATACACAAGACGTGCAGTGCACGTATTTACTACTAGTATATTAAATGGGAGGATTGTTGAGAAATTTTTGAATACCCAATTTACTCTTACATATTAGCTATATACCTAATATGACTTTATTTAATTTTAATTTTTTAATAATTAATTAATAACATTAATTCCTTACATATTTAGCTATATGCCCAATATATCCTTTTTAATTTTAGTTTTTTTAATAATTAATTAATAACATTAATTCAATTTATTCAACATGAAATTGAAACAAAAAATTATTACTATTTCATTTGTCAATAATCCCCTAAATTAATCTTCTTAATATTATATTAATTTTTACTAATAGCTTCTTATAAAAATATAACTTAAATTTCTCATTTCGATTGAATTTGTCAGTTTAAAAAATAGCATTCATATTCCACGTTTCATTCCATTGTTTCACGCATATCTAACGGCTAAATAATATATTTAAATGTAATAAAATTAATGCATACAAAATGTTACTATGTAATTCGATAAAATTTATTTTATATTATATTTACCCTTATTTTAAAGTTGTTGTGATTGGTAGTTACATATGAATCCCCATGATACCTAAGTTTAAATAAAAAAAAAATGAAAAATTGCAGCAACGGTTCCTAATCTTTTCAATTTTTGATATACTGGAGAAGACACAATAATGTTTACTGATACAAATTTTTTTTTTCAATCTTCATTTTCAACAACACATTTACAAAATAAAATATTTTGCACGTAAACCCAAGATTTTTTCCTACCTTTTAATCGCACATTCTTTAAAAAAATCACTATTCCAAAATCTATCAACACCAAATAGTGGGGCTCAAACAAGCTAAATATTGGATTTGAAGAAATTTATTCATATTTTGAATATCAAGTATTGAATTTGCTATCAAAATTATAATTTACAAAACAATAAAAATTGACAGAAACCCTTATTAAAAAGGTACTATGGCTAGTTTGGCGTAGCTTTTTGAAAAAATAAAAGTTGCTTCTAAAACTAAGAAATTGTTTTTGAACATATTGATTTTTTCTAAAATTGCTTTGCGTAATTAGAAGAACTTTAAGAGAGTGAATATGTTTACTCAAGAAGTTCTTTTACAAGAAGCAAAAGTATAAGCAAAAATCACACCAAACGGCCCTTAAACGAGTTAAACAACGGGAGAGTTTGTTAAATAACACAGTCAAACAATATATTTGGTTAAATAACCTTCTTCCATTGTTTGTTGGTCAAATAACCTTCAATTATAAAATACAATAAACAGATAATGCAAATGTCCAAAACACCCTCACCATTGGAAAAAAAGTGAAAATTACATAAAAGCCTACTTTTGAAGATCCCATT